ACTTTCCGTGTGGAAAATGAGAACACTACCACAGATTCAAGGATCTCCTTTTAGAAAGAGAAGTATAAATATGAGAAGATTATCACATTTAGTATTTAAAGTCCCAGTAACCTGCAGGATTTCTTTCTGTGAGTGCTGCTAATTGTCACACTTATAGGAAATGGTGAACTGTAACTAACAGAAAGGAAGCTGGTTAGCTTGTGTTTTGCTCTGAGAGAGAATCAAGCCAAGCCAGACTTTAAGTTATTGCAAGCATGGACAAGTTTGAAGGCCTGAACAGACAACCTCTATCTGCAGAAAGTAAAACAATTTTGGTCCATGATTTACTGTTCTGGAGGGGCAGCCGTGAGGCTGAATCTCAAACTGGTGAAAGGGCGCCTAACACTTGCCCATTTGTAATCAGAGTAATCGTGAGCAGCCAGATTGCTGGTAAGAACACCCCAAGTCTACTGTACACTGGCAGGACACAATTATTACCCTAGTGTCAGTCATAAAATATTTGGTAGCCAAACTTTCCTTTAAAGTTTCTCCAGAAGTGAAACTCTGAAAGGGAATGCAGTGATTTGGAACAAGTTACATATAAGCAAAAGCTTAAACAAATAATTTCCACAGCTTTGCAATTACTTCACCCATTCCACCTTGGTAATGCAAAACTGGTTTTGTTTTGCAAAAGTGTTTACATTTAACCTGATTATTTTGGCTTTCTATTAAAAATACTAAAGCATTATGTTTAATAATTGATATTAAACTATTGCAATGTGACCAGAATGAGATGACTAAATACTTTCAAATTATTTTAAAGCAGGAATTTCCTTTTAAATATTTTTAAAACTTTGATTCCTATTTAGAATATCAATTTTCAAATACTTGAATTTCTATTTTCTAACTAATTTTTGCCAGTCAAAGCACCCCACGGCACTACTTAATTTTCACTGTTTCTTTGTCCATTTAATAAATAATATCTCTTCTTATAGCTCATTCAGAATTTATTGCTGGAAGTATATTTCTGTAGGGAGTTCTTTTTTTATGGTCATGACACACTTCCTTCCAAAATTTAACTTATTGAATTCCTTTGGTTTTCTTAGCTGACCTGGGCTTTCCAGGAAGAAATATGTAGCTTAATATATTTGCAGCAATAAGAGCCCTCACACAGCTGATGAAGCAGTAGCACTGGCTAAGGTTAATGGAGAGAAACAATCCCTTTAGAGCATGCTTGGTGTGGTACCATGGAAATCAGAATGATTTTGCTGAGCAAAGAAGACATTTTTCTTTGAACATTGCTTCCTTCAAAGTAAACTAAACTCCAGTCCCTCTCCTCAGAACCATGCACTACTTTCTAAGGCTGAGACACATGATGGATGGCCCACATTGTTTGAAGACAAAGCTGTTTATAAATATCTCAACCTACAACAAAGGGCCTGATCTCACTTATAACAATTTTAGCTCAGCTTTACATTAGTGAAAGAAGATCTGTACTATTTAAACTCTGGAGAGTAAAGTTTCTTCCAGAAACGTGATCTGCTTCCTGTATTTAAAAGATATTTATGCTCCCCCTGTAGCAGGCTGAAGTCTGCGGGGATTTTTTTTCCTGAAGAAAGATTGATTTATGATGTTCTGTTCATGTTGCTATGTAGTCAGTCCCCTCTGAATTTAGAAGGTCTTTAACTTTTTACCTTCACCCAGAGGACTTAGCAAATGCATACAGAAAAAGGGGATCAACGGGATGAGGCTATCACCTGATGACACCTGGGCCAACATGACATCATACAAATTTCTGTATCTCAAAACACAGACTGTGAACAATAAGAGGCATGTTGATAAAATACACCCTTTCCTCATTTTAATGAAAATAAGTAATTAAGATATCTTCCCTATTCCTCTTTCTACACCCTTGCAGCTTGTTACCTGCTTGTCCTCCTTTCCAGGCTTGATGAGAAATATCTATAGTTTCTCAAACATGTACCAGGCAAACTGATGGACTCACATGTCTCAAAAGCAGCGGTGAAGGCAAGCCAGAAGATTAGAAAAATGCCACAGTAGGTCATCCAGAAGAATCAGCTCTGGAGGGGAAAGCAGAGTCCATTAATAACAAACTTGCTTCTTTCCACTTCAGAGCTCTCAAGGTGCAAAGTTTCAGATGTGCAAGACTTGACAGGCCTGTAACACTTACAATTAGGGAGTGCAGACAGGGGCATTTGGCACCAATGAGATGGTTCATGAAGAAAATGTACCATTTCAGTCATCTGAAAAGGGGAGCATTAGACACTTGTCACAGGCAGAAATTGGAGGAAGATGGCAGCTGAACGAGGGCCAGGACACTTGTAGCCAGGTCACTGAGAAGACTAGAGTTTAGGCAGTGGGAGAGGAGTGCCTCAGTGATCAAAGACCCAGAGAAGCAGTGCATCTTAAGGAATGTTGCAGGGAGCAGCAGTGCAGCTGGAAGAGCAGTCAGTATCACTGAGCCAAAATACAAGACTTCTCAGGACCCAGAAAAAGAGTCAGTGAAGTCAAAGTTGAAAAGAAGCAAGCTCCACCATGGCTAGACTTAAAAGAGTACAGAAATCTGGTGAATTTGAAGCCCAAGCAAGGGCTCAGCTCCTCCATGGGTGAGTCTGAATGGCTGACAATGGAATGTGAACAGCCCATGCAGTGCTTGGCTCCTGCACCCACTCATAGGCAAGCAGCACTAGGGCTCTGCAAGAGGCAAGCAAGCAGGGGCAATGCCTGATTAGCATGGGACTGATGGGGCTGGTTTCTCCAGTCTGAAACTCACTCTTAGTAAGTTAGTGTTTAGCATTTGCTGATTCAAACAAAAAGAAAGGCAGAAAGTTCACACCTCAGACATAAGCAAGATAAGATTACTCAGCTTTCCATCTGAAATATATTGTAGGATGCAAAAAGCTTAGGAGAAACTCACCAATTCAATCTTCATAATTAAAAAGAAATTAGACCACTCAGTCAAAACAAATAAACCCTTAGAAACTGAAATTGCTTTCTTATTACAAATTATTTTCCCCTTCAATTCATGGGGTTTTTTTTATTCCTTATTTCAGTGTGGTAAGAACTAGAATTTTGATTGTGTTTTTTTTGGTTTGTTGATTGGGGTTTTTTTAGGTTTATAATCTCTGCAGGGCTAGACTATTGTATGGCCATCCACACTAAGGTCCTGTTGGCTTTGCTGGTCTACAAGTAGTCAAGTTTACTTTACAAGGGAAATCTAGCTTGATCCTGTTCTTTCACGAATATTCACAAAAGTTGGCTTCATTTAAGTCAGCTGTCTAAAACTAGTGAAACAAGCAAAGGAAAATAAAATGTCTGCATTTCTACCATTGTTTGTTCTACAAAACCTTGAGAGACTGAACAGTTATTTTCTCCATCATTTCTACTTTAGCAAAATGTTCCTAGCCATCCACCTAAAGCTTGCCATTATGTTTGCTTTTTAATAAACCACACCATATCAAGGGTTAAAAACCCATCTCTTGAATTGGTTTGGAGCACAGACTTGACTTATATTTGCTCAAGACTGCTTACTTTAACATATCTTGAACATGCTGGTAAAAATACATCCTGTCTCAGGGCAAACAAACTGCAAAAGACTAGCTGTTGATTTTATCCATGTAATGAGTTAACATAATATGTATGGTAACTGTATATACAAAAGAATTTCCCAGAGAAATGTGGATTTATTTTACTACAGGAGGAAAATAAGTGAGCATATTAGAGCAGTCAATGTGAGAAATATAGATTAACAATGTGCTTGGCACTGAAATCACACTGGTGTACAGCTGATTCACTTCTGATTTACATTAGTGCAAATTCAAACTGGTTGTGACTTTCTGGTTAATGTGATGTTAAAACTCCCTCCTTAGTCACTGATCTGCAATGTTTCCCTTGAGGCAACTGTGACAGAGTGATGATTTCAAGAAGGCTGTTATCATTATGGCTCTGTCACTGTCCATAGAACAAAATGAGCTTCGGAAACATGAACTATTCATTAAACTAGTGCAACGTGGACCTGGAAAAAAAACATTGTATGAAGAAAATAACACAGAATAAAAGCCTTTCATCTTTATACAACTCTGTCCTGCAAATAATACAGAGTAGAAGCAAGGCAGTGTAAAATCAGACCTCTCCATTAGTCTATGTAATTTAGACAGTTTTCTTGACTGTCTTTATGTTTGTTATACTTGGCACTGGTGAATCACTTCTTGCTACATACTCTTCAGTAATGATGATGTAAACTACTGCTGCAAGTGACAGAAAAAAATATTTCCTTTCTTTAGGTAAAGAATTTGAGTCCTCATGGAAAACGAAAAAATCTGATTATTCGGCACCTGCAGCTATGGCAACCTGCCAGAATAATCATATAGTAAAGTACAGAGCAGTGGTAAACCTCTATTGCAGTCTGCCCAAATCAAATATTTTCATCACAGAACAACATGTACCTAAATCTCTGCCCAAATTTCTTATTTCTTTCAACTGTTTCCTGTGTAGCTGATGCTAAGTGCACCCTGGATGATTCCAATCACAAACCCAGCTGGGAGGCAGCTAGGAGTGACCCCCACCTACCTCTGCTTCACCCTCCCCATCCAGCCAGCAGCAGGCAGCCTGGCCTGCAAACATCCCCCAAGTGCACTGCAGGCTGCACCATGGTGCTGAATTGGAAGTCTATGCCAGCAAATTATGTTTCAATACATCAGCAAATGTTTTTAGAAACATCCTACTTATCAACTGCACTCCTCACAGTAATTTTTATAGGAAGCCAAACATGGTGTTACAGAATAAAAGTCTTTAAAGGTTTGTTTTACTTCAGAGGTTTGTCTGCCTTCTTCCTCTACCACAGAAAACCTAACATTTCCCCATATATTTGTCATTCTCAAGGAAAACATGCACATTTGATGTACTCAGAATATTTGATTTAGAATTCATATGCATAAAAATTCACTGAAATCCCATTTGCTTTTACTGGTTTTCTTTTAATACAAGAAAAATATTACTGATACTATGCAGGATGGCAAATGGTTAAAAAAGGCACTTCACAGATGCTACAATGCCATTTCTTTGTCTCAAGCAGAAGGGTTTGGACTTTTTCTGTTGGAGTGAGATGTATAGTATTTCAGACATCTCTAACACCCTTTGAGACCTCCTAGGACATCCAAGCCACATCTGATGCAGGACTTCTGGGAGACCATTGCCTGCTGGAGAGAGAGGTAGGAGGTTAAGCAGAATACTGTTAGAGCATCTCAGATGATGCTAGATGATTGAAAATTGCCGAATGGTTTCACAAATATTGTTTCTTCCAGTGAAGAAGAGCAGGTAGTTTCCTAGTATAAAAAAATCTCTGCCAATTATCCCTGGAGACTCCATATCCAACCCCTCTCTCACTCTGCTTCATTTTAAAGCCAATTTTATGCTAGGGACAGAAGAACATTTCCTTAGCTGCTAAGTTCATTTGTGTGTTAAAAACCTGAAAACCCCTCAGTCCATATTTAGTTCTCAGCTGCCACTGAGGCCTTCACCTTTAGAAGAAAATTAAAAATCTTAACAACTCCAGAGAGATAACTGACTATAAATGTACCTTCTCAGATTTACGGATGCATGTGCAAGAGCTCTGATGGGTCTTGGATCCAATTTCTTAGAGGCCAGGCCATTAAGAAATTAGACATTTGCTGAAACTACTTATGGGTGCCCAGTATAATATATATATTCTATATATATATATATATATAGAGAGTATATATATTTTAAATATATATATATGTATGGGTGCCCAGCCTTGTATATCCAGATAGTCTTACTATAAAAAAAGCCCTGTTGAAGCTGAAAGCAAATGTTTTACTTCCATAAGCTGATGGTTCCTGGATCTGAATCTTACTTATTCACAGCTATTAACATTTCTCAAGCTTAGAGTGTGTCATTAAGAGTATAACAATGTCAATGTAACAAGGCATAACAACTAACAAACCAATTTCAGTGAAGCATTTATAATGACAGATTGTTACCAGTTTTAAAATACCTCTCATACTTCCTTATGTCTGGAGTTAGAAGATATCTTCAAAGGCTCCTTGACTGATTTAACAAAACGCAGATCTTTATCCTTGTGACAGCTGCCCTGAGTCTGCACAGGCAGCAGAGCAAAAGGACACTTGCAGGGCATGGTGTTGCTGTCCTGATACAGGTGCCAGGATGGAGCAAACAACCTGAGCCATAAAAGGGCCTGTTTCTTCCCTTAACAATAACAGGTGTGCAAGGTGATCAGCTCAGCTCACGGAGACTGGAGATTTTCATGTTCAGCAAGAAGAGTCCCACTGGGGGCACCTGATGCCTTCATTTTGGTAATGGCCCCAGGCACTATGACAGATTGAAGGGGAAGATATGCAAGCAGAAGTCCAAGGGCTTGGCCTAGATAATCTGAGACATGGCAAAGAAGCAGATTATACTTGTCACATACATTTTTTTCTTTTTGAAAAGCAATAAATTAGTGTTATTATTATTTTTTAATGTGGATCCTTTCCCATTACCCTCAACCAAGCTGAGAAGGACAGCTGAGGGTGAGCAGTTACACTAAAATATAGGAGGACATCCAGCAAGCAAGGCTGGGATGTTTGTAAACAGGAAAACAACTTTGATTTATGCTTTTCGGGAAAAATGTCTTTGTCTTTAAAAGTGAAACTCTTTGTGAATCAAAATTTCTGTGGGTAATTTTTCACTTTTTCATCAGACACAGAAATGAAATGCCTTTGAATCATGTCAGCCTTGATAGAAACATCTCAGATGAATTTGTGGAGTGTCAGTTCAACACTAAGCTGTGTCCAACTGAATTGCTGCAGTGCTACACACAAGACTGCAGCACAACATAAGCATTCCCATAAGGACACTTTTCATGCTGCCCCTTTGGCAGAAACATTACGTGTAGGTGGGCAATGCATGGCTGTGGTGTGGCCAAGAAGGTTCAGTCCAAACACTCAGCCTGTGGAGAAAAATTGAAAGCAGAGGAGCTGGAAGAAAATGTCCCACAAGACTCATATTCTCAGTCTTCTGGACACATCAAAGGTAAAAACAAACAAGCAAACAAAGAAAAGACTAAAAGAAGCCTTTTGTTTCAGCACTAAACAAGTGCTATGACTAAATTAAATCCATGGTTAACAATACTTTTTCTAAGAACCAAAATGGTATTTAGACCATCTTATGCCCGAAATCTCTTTCTTACCTTGTTACATGTCTGATACTCTTTCACATGTGAAAGATTCCTAGCAGGACAGGTGTTTATAATAGAAGTGACAATGAGAACTTGATGATTTTCATGTTAATTTAACGAGTAATGTGAAATCATTAACATTAATTTTCTTTAATTATAAAATAAGAACATACTTTTCCTTTGATTTTGAAATAGCACAAATAGAGTTGTTGCTTTAAATTGATGCTTCAGGCAAGCTCACACATTCCCTGATCACCTTAACATCTTATATACAGGTGCTATGCACATTTACTTGCACTACATGCCCAAGGGTGAAAGTGTGGCTCAGGCTGCACAATTAGAGTTATCAAATATTTATGTAGACGTATAACTCTGCTGGATATGTTTTAAGTGCTTCAATGCAAGAAACAAAATATGTGTGGAGGAAAACAATCTGCACAATACAAAGGCTATCCACATGCAATAATTGCTGAGATCTTTGTTCAAATAATACTATCCACCTTCTGCCTTTTTTATCCCAGGCTATCAAAGAAATAGTGTTACTGAAAAAAATGAAAGTAGAAGATCCTAGATTTCTGTCTCACTTAATTCACTCCTTTCTAAACATCTGTATTCTAAAGTGGCAATGCTTTTCTTCCACTTCCTACCATTGTAACTTGATACAGCGATTGCAAATACAGAGATAAGGTATTTAAAAATGTGCTGCCTTGATCATAGGTAACTTCATATGTCTTGCCAAAGGGCAATAGGTTTCTTCCCCTGGGATACAGAGTCAGATATAGCTATTTCCAGATAATTTACGAAACAATTTTATAGTCTCAGGATCCCAAATTAAGGTGTAATGAAGTGGAGGAGGTCTATGTGCTATCACAGCATTTTGTGATAAGTAACTTTCAAAGGAATGTTAGATAAAGGGGTCAGGTGTGTATTTTATGTACACCATCTCTGGGACCTATCCCCAACTTCCCACGTCTGGAAAAAAGCAATGGGCAAATAGCTTGTAAAACTTACTAAATAGCAGGAATTAATGCCTGGTTAAGGGACTTTCAAGGGGCACCTCATCATGTAGTGGCTTTCAGCCTGGGATCTGCAGAGCTGGGGTATGTGAAAGAGGAAAAGCTAAGGAAAACAAGGCTATTAACAAAAGAGGCTTATAGACCTCAGTACCTTTACTGGAGGATATGTTTGTCCCATCAAATCAGAGTAAAAAGCCCTCAGCCTACTCTAAGTCACTGTGTAGAACAGCTCTATCTAAAAGTAGAAGGATTGCCTCTAAAAGAGATAGAAAAAACCTGACATTTAATGACAGTCGTTTCTAACATGTTCTCTGGAATAACATCTTTCATATTGCATACTCTTCATTGTACGGTAATCTCGTCATCATTTTTATTTCAGAATTAACTGTGCAAATTTACTCTTTGTCGTGAGAAGTGATGGATGTTTAATTCTGGTGTCTAGCTGTGAAGGTCAACATTCTCTGAGTGAGAATCTCAGATCCTTTTGACTTTGCACAGCTTAGTTTACAATCAGTAGCTAGACTTCTTTGTGACTACTATGTCTGCCATAATCTTCAATATCATGACACCCACTTTGTTTTATAAAATGCACAGCGACTCATCACTGGACTGTATTTGAAAACCCCACACACCCACATAAACTGAATACATTTTCTGGGATCTCCACATATATAATTGAGTTTGCATTCCACCCTTGAGTTTTCGCTTACTTGTTTTTAGGGTCATTGCCCACTTAGCTGTCTGCAAGCGAGCAAAAAACTCTAAAGACAGAGTCACTCTGGTATTTACCACTACTGGGGAGCTGTGTTTGACAGGGCCTTCATATCCCCCAGAGCAGGGTAGTTGGTGTGATCAGGTCTCAGGAACAAAGCTCTGCTTGGGTTTTCTCACAGCCACTGTTGGATGGAGAAGGGAACTGGTAAGGGATAGAAACCTTCTTCCACTTCACATCTATTTCCCTTCTCTCTCACAGGGAGCATAATGGGACTTATTATCTCTATCAATAATTAACAAACCCAAGGGACTACTGAACAAGTGTCACGACCAGCTCTGGTAAACCCCAATTGTAAATCACTTCTGCTTGGGCTTGCACCAAAACTGGCTCTCACATACCTCTATGGGACTAGTTCCTGAGAGGCAGAACTGAAAGCACTGCACATATCTTCTGGAAGAATCAACACCTTACAGAGTATGCAGAAATGTGTTTCTTTGCCAGAAATTATACAGCACCAGGTTGGACCAAAAATTCCTTGTTGCTATGGTTGCCACTTGCTCTAAATCTTTTTACTACTCCTTGTTGAACAGCAGCAAAGGAGAATAAAAACATATACAACACTTGTAATTGCCTGGTGCATATTTTAACATTTCTCTTTAGTGGCTGCTTTAAATTATGCAGTAATATTGCTGGCATGTTTCTCCAGTCCCTCTTCCCTAAGAGGATACATTTTACAGTGCTGAAATTGGACACTGGGTGTAAGAATCACACATTTGAATATTTTTTTCAGGAGCAGACGTGTCACATGCAATGTATTACAACTCAAGCTGTAAAAATTAAGTGGCATTTGCATTCATTAAGCATACATGAAATTTAATTCCATTAGGTCCAGCAACATTAAGGTCTGTCTGTTGCTGCTGATGTTACAGCTTAAGGACATTATATCTTCTGGCTAGATTCTGTTTCATAACCTAATAAAGTCAGGAATTACATCCTGGCTTGATGCCTTTGTAAATCCACCTCAGCAAACACACGACATGAAAGCTGTAGATGTAAATTATTTATATTCATCATTGTCCAAATTATTAATTTACCAAAAAAGGTTTAACAGATTAAGAAAACTACAGGCACTGTGCCCAGAGCAAAACTAATTTAAAAGACAACAATACGATCTGCTGAAGCCAAACCTCACTTCTAATCTTCCCATTTCATTACAGATACAATACAGAAGAACTGTTAACATTTCATCGAGGCTACTTAAAGAATCAAAAGCTTACATTACATTTCAGTCAACTTACCAGAAACACTGATCTGCACAATCCCCCCAGAAAATCAGGGATACTTTACTTTTTAGATTTTTGACTTTTAGCTGGAATAGAATTTAGAAAGAAAAGGAAGGCAAAGTATAAAACAATTTGAATTGCAGCTCTTGTAATTTGTTCTGCTGAAAGGATAGTCTGGGTTCAATACAAGCTCAAACTCAGCAAATAAACATATTTGGACAAATTACTTTTGTCTATATGTAGTTTCACAGAAGATATCATGACTGAGAACACAAGACTGCCCTCCTAACTACTCCAAAATGAAATCTATCAGTTAAAAAGCAAAACCTGAATTTTTATTGGCAATTTATGTGACATGAATCCAGGTGTCAGTATAAGCTTTCATCAACAGTCATTATTTTCCAACTATCAAACTAACCAGCTTCCATGAAGTAAAAGTTCTTACCTTCCAAAGTCTTTGATTTCTTCTGTGATTCTTAATGGCATTGTCAGGCTAGTCCTTCTTTTGGGAGCACCAGAAAAATGAGCTGAACAACACATCTATTTCCATGGAGATGTGAGGAATAGAAAATGTTTACTTAATTATGTACAAATGATGCCTTATTTTCCTCTAAGTAGTTTTCCAGTGGTCTAAGATGTTATTTTTGCAGAAATCAAAGTTCTTGACAGTATCTACAAATCATTTCAATGACATAAATGTTCACCACAGGCAACATATTATCATTTTTGCCTTTTCAAAGATTCTTTGTGGGCAATCTTACTTTTGTTTGCCTTGAAAGCATGTTACGTATATATATCTTATTTGTATATAGTTTACTTATATATGTATATAAATAAAAATATAAAATTAAACTAAACTCATGAGAGCTATACTTCCATTTCCAAACTATTCTGTCCTCTCTTTAAAAAGTGTCTCAAGCTACCAAGATAGCCTTTGAAATTCTTCAGGTCTAAGCTAAGTCACCAAGCTTTCTTCATAGTCAATGGAGAGAGATAACAACCCTCAGAAACCAAATTCCATCCTAAAATAGGTGGCTTAGATAAGGGAGCTAAGCCATTTTGTAGGTTGTCCTCTAGGAAAGTATACATTGAACAGCTTAGGTTCTCTTAGAAAGCTCAACTTAACTGAGATCTCACTTGTTATCTACTTTAACTGGAATCCACTTTGAGAGTACAGTCTCAGCAATATGTTTTCTATGAATTTATTGTAACTTTGGGAGAAGAAGTTAAGAAGCTGTACATCTCTTTATTTATGAGTCAACATAGACTGTTTCATCCATAAGAAAAAACACATCAGGGATGACTTAGCAACAAATGGTCCAGACTGTCTTGTATCCAACTTAAAGAAAAAGCCATAATGTAATGTCTCAGTCACATTTAGGAGGAAATTGAACAAATAAATTTTTAGGAATTTTTTTTAAAAAAGTGGTATTTCATTTTCTGTTTTCTAGTTGTCATGTTTTCACATTGGTGTCTGTCTGGAACTTGACAGATCACAAAATACGAACCTATTTCTCTGACACTTAAGGCTGAAGAAATGCAGAAGGCTGTGATCAGAGGCCCCAGTCGCTTTGCACTGCAGAAGTAATACAAAATGTGCAGAAAAGGCTCTTCAGGGAAAGCTGATTTTACTCCTGTCTACAGCTCCTCTGCAGAGTTCATATTCATTGGCTGATCCCAGCCTTTCCACCACAGCACTCTGTGTCACACCTGTGTAAAAACATCCACCTCAATGCAGTAGGACTCTGAGCTGGGAGACATTTCGGGCCAAGGTGGTAGCAGAGGGGATGGTGATTTTTCATGGGTGCTCATGACTCAACATAGGAAACTGCCCTTCATTTACAGAGTGCACTTACCTTCATCTCCTCGTCTCTCTAGCCCAGCACAAAGCTCCTGTCTATAACAAGAGAAGCATGTTTTATGTAAATCACCTCCCAGTGGAGTCACTCATTATTAATGTAGACAGCTCTAAAGAGAGAAACTCATGGCATTTAGCAGAAAGAACTGTTAATGAAAATATCATTAAATAAGTCAATCTGAAAGCCACAAAATGGCCTCTCTACCTGTTTCTTCTTTTCTGTCTTCCACACCTCTGGGTGCATTTCACTCAAGTCAATCTTTTTTAGCATCAAGTCACAGCTTTCCCTGGAGAGGGGCATCACTTTCTGGTAAACTGCTCATATTTGAGAGGAGGTGCTATTTAAACATTGTGGAAATATGTCAGAAACACACTGGGTCAGTATGGGACTAAACAGCAAGGCTGAGGAAGAGGAGACTCCAATGACTGGCTGTAGATGAGGCAATTTCCAGTAACACTGATCTGAAAAGTATAATGCAGCCTCTGCTTTGCTATGTATTTTGTAGAGTTCACGACTGAGCCTTTCACTCGCTTATATCTTGCAAGTGCTTCGTGCTTGTAATTTCATATTGTTCACTGGAATATCTTTCTGGTCACATGTATTGTATGTCATAGGGATCTTAGATGATCCAAATAGCCTAATCCAACAATTCTGCTAAAAATTTCCCTACTCCTTCAGACCATTTATATCTGACCATATTAACCAGAAGCAACTGTCTGATAAACTGACCCAAACTGGCAGTGAACATTCCTTTTTCCTTTGTTTCCTGAGGGCTTTCCACTTCCACATCTGAATGTTGAGGGTTTTCCTCTGGAAAAAGTAGCTATTGGTATCAGGGAGAGGTATCTCTGGTACAGATGCACATGGCTCACATTCCTAAGTTATGAAGGGATTCACCTTTCTCCATAGTTCTGAGGGCTATCAGGATCTGCATTGTAGGCATGTGCTTATATTAAGCCAAAAGTTTTGTGTGGATTAAGTTAGTATGTTTTGTTAAAATAATACCGTCCAATATTTTGGGTGCACGGAAAGTGATGAAAGCATATATCCAAAATTCTGACCATTTTTTTCCTAACATTATTGGTCTATTAAAAAATAAAACTTCTCTGCTCACAAACCTTTCCTCCTTTCTGACCTGATAGAATTATGGCTATAATAAATAACCTGAAGTCTGTAATCACAGGATCATAGAGGGGCTGAAGTTGGAAGGCACCTCTGGAGGTCACCTAGTCCAACTCCTCTGCTCAAGCAGGGCCACCTAGTGCTGATTGCCCAGGACCATGTCCGGATGGCATTTGGATATCTTCAAGGATGGAGACTCCACTACCTCCCTGGGCAACCTGTGCCAGTGCTCAGTCATTCTCACAGTAAAAAAAAAGTGTTTTCTGATGTTCAGACAGGATTCATTGTTGAAATACACTGTTTAAACTGTATATCAACCCTTATTTGTGCTCAGTATACACCATCCTGAGTGGACAGTACATTCCTCTTCCCATCAGCTTGGAAACAGACTCAGACTTCTACACTTCAGTATTACAACCTAGCAGTGGAAAAAGGGAAAATTAAGAGAGTCTGTTTTTTTTCCCAGCATAGAGCAGCAATTCAACATGATGTGGCAAAAAATGGCAAAAGAAAGAGGCATCATTTCCCCATTCTGCAAAGAAGTAGAGGCACAGAGAGACTGCTACCAGCCTAAGCCTGTTCCCCCTCCCCTGTGACTGTACTTGGCAAGAAGGAAAGAGTACTGAAAATATTCATACCAGGCAATAATAGACAGCCAGCGATGGGCAGGGAAAAACAAAGCAAAGCTGTTTATTGCTGAAGTGTTAGGAAATAAATGAAAGTCCAACAGACAGACAAAACGCAACCAGCATTTCAGGACACTGCTCTTTTTGCCTCTGAAACTTGAACCCCAGTTTCACAAATGGCACTGGGGGAGGCCACTAGCACATTCTGACTGCTGGGGGAGGCCCATGGGACAGACAGCAGTGCTGTGTGATAGCCATAGTGATTTGCTGTGGATCGCCCCTGTATCTAACTGCTATTTATTGTGCAGGACACATATAACATTATGCCTCAGTGGATGTACTTCACTGTCATGCCTGATCAAAAGTGTTGCCTTGGAGCGATCTTAGCTTGAGAGAACCCCAAGTAGTTTTATAAGTAAGAAGTCACCCCAAGGTGACACTTGAGAGGAACAACATTAAAGTGTACTCATCTCTCTTGTGTCCCTGGCTACTTCAGAAGCTCACAAAGAAAGCTTAGCTCTGCTAGCTCATACTCAGAAAGCAAAAGGACCCTTATGCCCTTGTTCATGTTTTATCAGTGCTTCCTAAGTGGAAAACTAACTAAAAATGCTGACTCTAGTCATGAACACTGGAGTTTTGAGTAAAGATAGTTAAGTAAAAAATTTGTTTTAAGGATATTTAAGTAGAGATAAAAATATAAGCTAGTGATCTCACTCTCAAACACAGGAGGAAACCAAAAGCACAGAAATGACGGTTCAGGCATGATCTCAAGGCTCAAAACAGATTAGTTACACACACAACAGTCATATACCCATGTCCACATGCAGGCAATTCCCTTGATAAATGCAAGCTACAGTCCCCAAAGGATTTTCCTTTAGCCCCAAGGAAATGCCTTCACTGTGCAGGGAGGTGTGCAGCAGAGATACCTGAGCTAGCTCCAGAGGCAGCAAAAGCCCAGGGAGTAGAGGGCACACAGCATCTGCGCTTATGTGCCTGGTTGACACAAGCCAAGCGCATGTTTCTCAGGCGCAGGGCTGAGGCACCACCATGCCATCTCTACACCACCTTGCTACTGTTCTGCACAGAGACAGCCTCAGTGTGGGGAGAAGGAAATACTCCCACCTTGAATCCACTGTATGCAGGCAGTCCTTTTGACATATCCTTCTAGCCAGCACTTATAGCACTGCTGCCAAGACCACACTTTCTTGCTCCTTGATTCAGCCTGACTACGGCATCTTCACTGTTCCACCTAAACTGATTTTCTCTCCATTGGTACAGTATCCACAAGCAGACAGGCAGATTAAATTCTCTTTATGTTTTTCACTTACTAGGCTTATTCATAAAAGTAAGGCTCAAGCATTGTCTTACAGCCCTCAGTCAGCTTTGTGTTGATCTGCTGAAATCAGGACCACAAATCCTCTGTGACGGGCTGCAGCCAGCAGCTGAGAAGGGGTTAAGTGACTCCCTTGGGCAAAATGAAAAATGCCACTTCTCAGTAGCTGAGATAGGACTTGTCTTGGGCAAAAGCACTTGGAATGGGGCTGCCAGTGTTATTTATGTCTTCAGTCTGACAGAGAGTTGAAGGGAAGGATTTTTTAAAGATTTATCAACATTTCTTATTTGTTTAAGAGCTGAGAAATCCCAGAAAGGAGCTCCCTGAGAAGACACGTCTCTTCCAAAGGCAGAAGAGAGCCTTTCGGTCAGAAAGCAAGTGGGGCAGCTTGCTTAGGAGCAAGAAGAGCTACAGTAGACCTTTACCAACCAGGTCAGCACAAGAACCCCTGGTCTCTGCTATGCCAGAGGTCACCAAAGGCACTAGAACAGCCTCTCTGCTTTTATAGTTGATGCAATTTTTAATCTGCCCACGTGAATGCCAGTAAAGCCACCAAAATTATCATCAGCCCACCCAAATGCTTTTGTGGCATCAAGTACTCTACTAGATTTATCTTAATTTGCTGTACTAAAAATGGGAGGAAATAGCTATTTCCTCTCACTTTTAATCCACAAAGAAATGTAAATTTTTCATGATTCAGAAATTCTCTTTTTTTATCCTACACAGTGCAAATACTATCAAGTCATAAAAAATTAACCACCCTAAAAAAAAAGGGTGTATGGGCATCTACCACAAGACTTTGAAATCCAAAATACAGTAAAATTAATTTAATTTTTCTGAGCTTCTTGAAAGATCCAATGCTGTCAAACACTTTGAGATAGTTCATAAAGTTTTTCAGTGAAATATTTTTTAATCAGAAAGTAGAAAGTGACTGAAACCAGTGTGCATTTTGCAGGCAAACATAGCAGCATTGCCAGAATTTTTGCCAGGAAAGATTTTTCATCTCTAGGGTGTGATTTATGGTCAAAACCTAAGAGAGGCTTAGAATTGATAATAGCCTGAAGTCCTGGGTTCTCACAGACTTGAACTTAGGACCCCCATGTACTAGGCAGGTACTATGAATCACCAAGCTATTAACTGCCTACCAGATCAGCCTTTGACTTTCACAGGTTGGTACTGTTCCATTTCGCATTTAAAAAACAGTTGAAGATTGTGAAGGAGATCCTTAATATTTCTGTGGTCACAGAATTTTTCTGGAATGTGGGAGGCGGGTAATGTCGAATCTTTTTCACCTGAAGTGAGTTGATTAATGAACTGTTTGCTATGCTAAGTGAGGATCTTGCTTTGTTTCTGCATTTTTTTCCATTAAAATAGAAAGAACTTGGTTTCATCCCTACACAGAACAGAAAAGGGCTTGAGGTTTTTTTAAACTTCAAAGTTGTGTACAACTAGAAAATCATGTCTCACACAGCTGTATGAGATGACTCATCCCTGTAAGATGGCTGTAATTTTCTTTTGGGACACTCAAGTGAGCACACAGCTTCAGTGCAGCACATAATGGGCATGTCCTGAACTGTAGGGGCTTCTAAAGCAAGCCCAGAGTAAATGAGGCTCCTTGGAGTTTGGGAACAGAGATACAGGTTTAATACAGTCTTGGAGAAAGCTGCAGGAGCTGAGAAATTGCAGGGTTTGTACTTTGCATGTCTTTTTACCAGAGCTCTACTGCTTCATGCTCAGTGAGGATCAGGATTCACGAACAGAAGGGTTTTTTAAAGCAGCCTGCTTTGGATATTGGCAACGAAATGAAACATTTATTGCAGAGAGACCACACAGTTTTGCAGTTTGGGTGGATCTAGGTTCCATTTTAGCCTTAAATCAACCTTGGGATATAACAGTTCATTCTATTCTAGTGCCCCTGCTTTCACCTTACCACAGGTTAACCGGGGGCCATCATACAACCAGTTATTGTTTCATGTAACCCGCAATAAAACTACCTGTCTGGAT